CCGAAGCTGTTGGACAACAAGCAGAACAACACCTCTTTCTGGGCGCTGCGTGGAAATAACTAGATTTTTCTTATTTTTCTTTCAAATGCCACTTGTCTGATTTTTTTTTTATGTACCGACATGAATGTTTTCATAATTTAACTTCTGAGAAATGAAACACACAAAATGAAACTTCTACAGGTCTGACGAATTTATAAGACTTAACATCGATGTGCGCATGCGCATTGCCACAAGGTATGCTGGATTTACGAGGTATGCCAGATCGACAGAACCCCCGGTTTTTTTTTTTTTTTTTTTTGCCCCGAATTTCCCCTTACGACAATCTTAGGACGTCGCTCGCGATAATCGTAACCGATCATCCTGCCGTGTGTGGTATGCTAAGACTGCTCGCGTCCAGTCGGTAGAACGTTGGGACTGCTCCGATCTAAAATCGGGCATATTCTCGCAGCGTGTGGGTTTTCCCTGATTGGGAGCGAGAACTCAACCTGCTCAAGATTTGCTCTTGCAATGAAGCTGGACACACGATTCGACCGACCCTGTTGTACTTTTATTGGCTCGTGTGGTCACAGACGTTTTGAAAATCGGCCGACAATCCTAAAATTAGACAAAATCTAAAATCACGCCGTGGGAACCAGACTTAACACTTGCAAGCTCTACTCCTCTCCTCTCGTCCGCTGCCCTAACGCTCTTTGACTCTGGTCGCTATGGTAACGTTTACACATCCCTTCAAAATAAGATTTGGATACGCCACGAAAACGAACATTTACTGTCATGAAACTTTTAACTCACGACAACGACAAATTAATGGGAGCCCTGAGCTTGTTTATCTGCAAAGAGACTGTCCTGTCTGGGAAACAATGACACCCGATGCAGAGGGTGGTTGGTCTGTAATGGCGAAGCAGTCTGAAGCTTCATTGCCTCATTAGCGAGCCGGTGCATATTATGAGAGCGGGGCTTGGAACGTGGGAGTCACCTACCGATCCGGGATAAATCCACTCTCCTGTCTCTGGTCCTTCTCCCCTTTTCCAACGAAACTTTCCAAAGACATTTGTTTCTTACTCATTGTGGGCTCAATGTTGGCGCGCAAGACGTAACCGAGAGAATCCGATTATAGGGTTTTCAAAATAAAAGATCCTCCAGACTCAGATAATACGTAAAACGAAAGTATTTCTAGTGCGGCCCGGTGCCAATTGCTCCACTGACCGGTACCGTCCAGCTGCCCGGTGGTTGGGGACGACTGATATAGACTATTGCCTATTAGACCAAAGCTACAACGGGAACCCTCGTCACAAGACATCAGCCCATTTCAGAAACATCAGTGAAAAATAACAGGCACAAACACTGGAAACTGCTCCATTTGTTTGAGTTTACTTCCAGCAAAAGATTCAATGGTTTTCTGTGCTCAGTGCAACAACAAATTTGCCTCCATTTAATGCATAAACTGCTGTAATATTTGTGCAAAACACCACATTCAAATAGCAGAAATATACAGTTACTGGCTAAAGTACCGATACCTGGCTTTTTGAAATGTGACAACAATGCAACTGTGGGATTATATGTGACTGACCAACACAAAGTAGCGATGATTGTGAAGGAAAAGTGTGTGATGCCACAGTTGCCTTGCAGCAAAGGCTAGGGCCTTTTTTTACATGGAGTCAGTAAGTTCTCCTTGGGTCGGCATGCACCGTCTACTACTCTGGTTCCCTCCAACAATCCAAAACTATAAAAGTCAAGTTAATTAGTCTGTGTACCTGCCTTTCAACAGTCTGAAATCTATAGGACTTTATTTTACAAATAAATATTCAGAAAAGTGAGGTGTGTGTTTGCTTTTAGTCTGATACCCCTAAATAAAATCCAATGCAATCAAGTTGTCTAATTTGTAAATGTCATCCAACTGTATCAGCACAAATACGGTCGTTCTGTGAAACCTTCGAAGGTTTCTCAGAGAATATTGCTGAACAAACAGACAAAGGAACAAAACAATCCTCTAAGCGACGCTCACAGGACGCTGTTCAACCCATAACCTACAAATAAAAAGGGTATGATACAGATTTGAGCCAATCGATTCAGGGCTGTCCACCTAAAAATGACAGGCTGTGCAAAGGAAGCAAGAATCAGAAACTACCATGACAACCAATTGTTACTTTGGAGAAGAAGCAATAATTCATTGCTCAGGTAGAAAAATCTGACAGCAGAATTATTAGTGTTGCACCCCGTAAACTCATTCTTCATAGAAGAGTGGCAACGAGATAGACATTGTTGAAAGAATAGCAGAGGGAATCCCATCTGCAGTTGGAAAAAAGGTGCTCTGGATAGATCGGCTGAAAGTTGAACTTTTTGGCTAAATGCAAAACAACAGATGTTGAGAAACACAAAAAAAAATAAAATAAACAAGCTTACACTACACATCAGCCTGAACACTCAATCCCTACAGCATAACACCATGTACTAGTTTGTGATGGTCTTTCACATAAAATAAAAATAAGGTACAGGAAAGTCAGTTGTTGAAAAGGCACTGTATTAATATCAGGTGTAAAACGATGCAACTGAGTCATGACATGATGAATAAACTGACATTAGCGCCACAAATATATAAAAAGATAGATGTCACATGTGATGTGATGCAGGCACCTCCTCCTCCTATATGAATTGCTTCCAAGTGGTTAAGTTTACTTCCTTACCTTAGAAGTTTTTTGAATCTGTCCTCAAAGTCAAAGGTGTTGTTGAGAAGCTTCAGAGCTCCCTTTTGCTCCAATTCATTCTTATAACGATCCCTGAAGTGAAGCTGGACATCATCTATAAACTTGTCCACATAAGTCAGCGTGAGGATCTTTTGAAAACCCACCTGGTTTGAAGAAGACAAAGGTTAAAGCAAATTTAATCACATCTCGTATGGCAATACAAAGCACTAGGCACAGTTTAGGCTTCTCTAAATTGTGCCTTTTTCGTGCTTCATATTGCTCTTACTGTTGTCAATTTGAGACTTACCACAAATATCAACTCAAACTCATTGTCCAGTTTGTATTTTAGACTCAAAGCTTCGTGAGTGAAGGAATTGTTCCCACCACGCTCCTGTTAAAACAACAAAACCAATGTTGACATGTAATCGTGAGCTCTAGATTTTAAGACGTATGTTGGGTCAGCAAGGTTTCCAGAAAAAAATATGAATGTGTTGCAGAAAATGTGACAATTTTTAATATAAAAAGCAAAAGAGTGCACTTTTGCAAAGAAAACTACGTTTGTTTTTACTATAATCATGCTAACAGCTAGCAGTTGCTAACCGCTAGCACTAGCTTAGAATTAGCTGCCGAATGCAGACTGCCATAAAAAGAGACATCAGAGAAAGTTCTCCTCTCTGTGTTTATATCCTCACCTGAAGGATCACTGAGCGGATCAGAGCATTGACTGGCCCCGTGAAAGACTCACTAACCCCGGCTCCCTGAAAACACCATAGCACTATCCCCCCTTTGCTGAAGATGGTGAAGAAATCCAACATCTTGTCACCACGTATCTGGATTTGATGAAGCACACAGACATACAATGTATTAAAAGCACAAAGGAAATACTGTAATAAAAGATTTAGCCCCGTTAGCCTACAGTAAAACGATCAAATCTTAAGAGCTTACAGTTTAACGTCTGATTAATATACCACGCGTAAAAAAACCCAACACCGGTGGAAAGGAAAACTGTTTTAGACACGTCAGATGATCACTGGGGAAGTGACGTTCAGTTCCGGTGTTGCGTCAAACTGAGTCCCCCCCCCCCGCTTCACTTTAGTCTTCAGTGAGTAATTCTCAAGATAATACACGTGGTTAAAATGCAACTATTTAATTAACTATAAAATTTTGAACATCACACTATCTAATTTTAGGTTCAGATTCAGATCAGCTTTATCAAGTTAAGGGGAGAACTGGTTTGTGTCAGTACTTCAAACTTGTTGAAGAAGCACATGTTAAGAAAAATACACATAAGACACAAGTTTTACAGCTACAAAAAAATAGTACAGTGTCAAATTATGGTGGGATAACTGTGTTCTAATGGAGTAGGAGGTGTTGCCCAACGTTGACCTTAACTTATTTTGAATCCTAATCTCTCAATCTGTCACTTCCACCCCAACATTATTATTATTAGCCTTTCAGAGTAATTTATTTAGCCTGTTGTCACCTACTGATGTTTAGTCTGCTCCCCAAGCATGTCAAAGCATGAAGAACATCCCTCAATAAACTCTTAGTACATTTAGAGTTTTGTGTGTAGCAATGTTTAGCTGAAATTGTTCAATAATAATGCCATGGTATGAAAGTGGGGGGCGGGGGAAAGCGTTAATCATATGCAACAATTCAGAGGTGTAAATTTTGTCAGGTTTGCTAAAACATCAATACCATGTTAAGTATTGCTTTTTATTTGGCAGCTAGTCAGATTTTTCTTCTGTTTTGACATGATGCCCTTTAATGTAATGTCCAGTACTATTTGCAGTGTTTAAATATTCCTCCATTCTGAATGAGCTCACACTATAATGGGGTTGAAATATCTGCTACGAAAAAATAAATATTACAATTAAACTGTTTTTATGACCAAATGGATGCGACAGAATCTACAAAGAAATTATGAAAAAAAAAAAATACTTTGTGATTCATTTCAATTCACACCCTGGGAACCTGAGACAAAGCTTCCTGTTAATGTAATTTGCATTTAAAGTTTAAAACTGCGGTTTCCTTTCCCCTTCTGTGAACATGTCTGGAAGGCTAAATTTAAAAGAGAAAGCGTCTCAGAAGGGTTTTTTTTATTGTTGCTTTTTATTGTTGCTAGGTTTTATTTTGTTTAGCTGATGATGAAAAATTTTCAAACCACCACATATATAGAATTTAATAATTTTTTTTTACTTTTCTGACTGTTTACTTGGCCTACTTAAGGGTTAATTGCAATGTCAACGAAGCATAAAGCAAGAACTGACTTTGCATTTGAAAGTTTGCTGCACACGTCTCTTCCAGCAAATTGTAACTTCCTCTTTTTTAGGGTGATATTAGGTGTCAGTCTGTTTGTTGAACTATAGTTTCTCTGAGTAACGTGTGTCTAATGAAGGTTTTGTGAAGTTACATCAGTTATTTATTCGCTGGAAAGATTTTGGAGAGCTAAACAGACATGATGGTATTAACAACATGCATGGTAAGTTCATATATTTCATGTTTCTCACGCCAAGCTTACTTTATCTATTTGATTATTTATTACAACTGCATGGGTTCTACAAGTTGTTGTTTTTGGTTAAAAAAAACAAAAAAAAAACAAGAAAATCAGAAGGTTTGGTATGGGCAATATGTGTAACATGGTGTAGATTGTAATTCCCAACTTCTCCTCTAGCAAGGGAGTGAAGGATTTATAAGAACAAGTATGAATTCAGTTGAGAAAACTGAAACTGAGAGGGCTCGCGAGCCATCTGTGTGTCTCTGAGTGTATGTTGCACCAAGCTATTGACATAATATTAAGTCCAGGGTGAGTTTTCTGTGCCGGAGTGCGTTCAAAAGGTAGTCTGGACATGTCATTTAGAAGAACGGATGTATTTAGGAGTTCAACCTAATCTTCTTTTAACAGCATTCACAGTTGGTTTCAAAAGCTTACACACCCCTGCTAAGATACGGCATCTCACAAAAGTGAATACTTGCCTCACACTTGTTTAATGTCTTTTTTAAATATATTTTTTCATGGGACAGCACTGAAGATATGACACTTAAGTACAATGCAAAGAAGTCAGTAGACAGCTTGTATAACCATATAAATTTGATGCTCCCTCAAAATAATTGAACACACAGCCATTAAAGTCCAAACTGCTGGCAACAAAAGTGAGCAGACCCGCTAGTGAAAATGTCCAGATTCTGCCCAAATAGCAATTTTCCTTCGCAGGTGTCATATGTCTAGTTAGTGTGACATGGTCACAAGAGTGAATGAGCAGCAGGTGAGTTAAATTTAGTGTTATTGCTTTGATTCTTTCTCATACTGGTCACTGGACGTTTAACATGGCACCACGTGGCAAACAGTTCCCTGAGTATCTGAGACAGAGATAATTTTTGCCATACATAAAGATGGCCTCTTCTTTTGGCCTAAAAGAGCTAAAAGAAGATTGCTCTGAAAATGAGCAGCAGCCTGTTGGTTAAGACCGGTCGCCCTCAAAGTAGGTTATGCCATGGTCGACCAAAGAAGTTGAGTGCATAATACTCAGCCTCATATCAAAGTTGTCTTTTGAAGACAGACATACAGTTGAGACCAGAAGTCAGTAAGTGAATATGAAGACACATACATGTCTGACTATCTGAAGTTAAATCAGGTGAAACTTCTATTTTATGTGAGTTAGATTTAGCAAAATTACTTCTCTTCACTAAATAATGATATTGAGAGAATATTATTATTTAGTGAAGTGTACTATTATTTAGTGTCTTAAAAACTAAACGTTTACATAACTACAAATAATCCACAATAAAGTCCTCAAACTGTTTGCATTAGATAACATTGATTATTGAAACCCTGTCTTGTGGTCTGGTGAGACCGAGGTAAACTTATTTGGTTCAGAAAGTGTCAAGGGCAAATAGGTGAGGAGTGTGTCATACACACAGTCAAGCGTGGTGGTGTGAATGTCAATGGTTTGAGGCTACATGAGCTGCGGGGAGCTTCATCAAGGATACCACGCTGAAGCTGAGTACGTTCCCTTCCTTTCGGAAACCTATCCTGAAGTGACCATTGCCTAGCTAAAGAAAGGAAAGGAAAGGAGGTCTGGCCAAGAAGGTCTCCAAAGCTAAATCCTATGGAGCATCTACAGAGCAGAGTACAAAGTCTCTGACATCCACCAGCTTTGTACTGCCGCCACAGAGGAGTGAAAGAGAAGTCATAAACTCTGAATCTGTAGAGTGGTATAGAGTGGTTTGACGGTGTCACTGACATGATGAAACCACTTAAAAAGATGAACTATTGTGCTTTCATTCCATGTGCACAAAAGCTTTTAATAAAAAAAAAATATATATTTTACTATAAATGCAGTATCAGCATCACTGATTTTCTCTGCAGTAATTAAGTCAAACTTAGTGCCATCTTGTGACGTAATCGAGATAAGTCGAATTGTAAAGAACTAAGGCAGAACACGTGATTTATCTGCGGTTTTGGAGGAAGAAGTCATGCAGTGATGAAGAAGAGGGAGCTGGTTCGACTGAAGGACTGGAACCCTATTTTTTTAAGCGTTATAGCTCAGGAAGCAAAGATGACGCCAATGTTTCTAAGGAAGAAGGGTCCAACAGTGAAGGGTTGGAGCTGCACATCTGTCACCTCCAAACCACTGAATGGGTTTGGAGGCATCAGTCCACTTGGTGTAGTGATGTTGCATCGATGTCGGTGTTGCTGATAATCCCTCTACTGCACAAGATTATAGAGTTATTAGAACTAAAAAAAAATCAAACTCAAGACCTGGAAATAAGAAGAATGGGAAGGCTCCAATAAATGAATGGAGAATATTCATATGTTGGAACACATGCAGGTCTTCAACCAGTTACTGTAAAGTGACTGGATTATTTGAATTAATCCACAACAAAGATGAATAACTATTATATTCATGGATATTCATATTCAGTCAGTGATTTGGAGGCCATAGATGTGCAGCTCCAACATTTCACTCACACCCTTCTTCTACAGAAACGTTGGAGTCATCTTTGCTTTCTGAACTATATGGCTCAAAAAATTATAAGGCCAGCTACATCTGGCCATCCTGGCCATTCAAGAAAAAACAAGAAAACTTTGGGCACAATTTTAATATTTTTGACACATGTGGTGTACTTTTGTTTATAAACATTTAGACACATTAAAGGCTGTATCTCGAATAATAATAATAATAATAATAATAATAATAATAATAATAATAATAATAATAATAATAATAATAATAAGAAGAAGAAGAAGAAGAAGAAGAAGAAGATGAAGAAGAAGAAGAAGAAGAAGAAGAAGAAGAAGAAGAAGAAGAAGAAGAAGAAGAAGAAGGGCATTCAAGCTGTACAGTATCTTCAGTGTTGTCCCACGAACATATATAACATTTTTAAAAGCGAGAGCAGTGTACTCACTTTTGTGAGATACTGTACCAAGACCTTGTGGTGTAGAAATAGAAAACAATGGAAAAACATATAAATGAATCTCCTGTTTATCCTGTTTAGTGCAAAAGACAAATTAATCAGGGCAAAATATGAAACATTGCAGAGTTGCATTCTCTTGGCTACATAACTATGCACACCCACTCTATTACTTTGTTGTAGAACCTAAGCATTCATTTGCCAGCTTTATCCCCAAGTCCATCAGATTGTGAGGTCATCTCTTGCCCAGAGCCCTCATCAGGTGACCTAATGGATTTTCTGTCACATTTATTTCTGCACCCTGGCATGACTGCGTTGAAACTTGAATTTTCTCCTGGTGAAGTCATTCTTTTGTGTATATGGTGGAAATTTAAAATGTTCTTCAATAAATTGCCACAGTCACTCTGGACTTTTCACTTTTGTCTTAGATAACTTTGAGTAAATTCTGATCTAATCAAGGAGCAATGTAAGCTCAGCGCTAAAGGAGGAGTTTACTTTATGTAGTAACACCAGATAGTGAGTTTCTGGAGCTTTTTACATTGACATGTGTTTAGAAAACTGTTAAAAGATATAAATAAATATATATATATATATATATATATATATATATATATATATATATATATATATATATATATATATATATATATATAT